TATTATTTAATAATATAAAACCAATTATTTAACAGTCATGTCTTACATTAGTAACGAAATAGGATAATCATTTTTGTATAAAATGATTAACTTGAGGTTAATTTTAAAAATTTTAAAGATTAAATCTAAGATTTTTTTAGTTTAAAAACTAACTTAGAAATCTATATAATAGTTGTGGAACTAAATTAAAAGTTTAACCAAACATCTATAATATTGAAATTTGAACTATGATCTTAGCCATAAATATTGTGCATCTTAGCCATAAATATTGTGCATCTTAGCCATAAATATTGTGCATCTTATAACGTATGCATGTAAGACTACAGGCGCCTTTTTATCTTTCAGTATGCAGTCACGCAGAGCTGTGTGTACTTGGGGTTTTGGTGGGACAAAGTCTTAGAGGTGAAAATAATGAATGAAGTAGGGCAAGTTCCTTAACAATTTCCATGGGGGATCAGTCAGCTCTCTCAGTATCTGAACACTGTGAGATAGAAATTTACTGTGTGATTGACTTGTACTGTTATTGCAACCATAAAAGATATTAAAGTCACCAATCTTTTAGTTTTTTCCTTCAAATAAAATTTAAAAATATCAATTTGATAACTGATTTTAATATATTAATTAGTAAATGTCAATTATTTTAGTAATAATTAATTAATAATTTTAATTATTAATAATTTTTTAAATTAAATTAAATCAACATTTTTAATAATAATATTTTACAATTTTTAGTAATCATAACTCCACAGCTAATGGACGCCCCAGAATACCAAACACATTTGGCAAACGTTTCTCTTAATTGGACCTTATCCCTTCCACATTTGTTGCCTCCACTTTTCATTACTTGATTGCGCCAAAATCCTCAGAACTTCTTGCCAATTTACTTTCTCGGGGCAGAATTTTGGGTATTCTATTTTCCCCAGCTGCAACCGTTATTTTTTTTTTAAAATAATTTTTTGATAAATCAAATGATGTCCATACAAAAAGATAACACTTCTCATTCCTTAATCCTTCTTTCCTCACTTGTCTTAAATTTTGAAGTCGGATATCAAACTTGGCTTTTCCTGTCTCAAAAGAATTTAAGATTTTAAGTTTATATTTATACCCTAAAATGATTGAGAATTAGGAAAAATGAGAGAATTTTTTCTTTTTGGGGTGAGTTATTCATCAAATGAACCAAATTAAGTTTCAAGATAATTAATTTTGATAAAATATGCATCTAGAAGGAAGGGATTCATGAGATGGTCTCTAATTAGGACAGAATAATCCTAAAGGAGAGTCATCCACATGTCATAACAGTCCTTATACATTGTTGTGCACTGTATGGGCTAAAGTTTTGTTAAATAGAAATTCATGGGGGGCTGATCTATATATATTCGATCTTCATGGTATTGAATTTATTCTTCACGATTTCATTCATCCCGAAAGAAGCAAGAAAAGAGAAAAGAGATAAGGAGTATATGCTATGAAAGAGCTAAAAAGATGCTTTTAGTGATGGAAAATGCGTGTGCTGATTCTGCAGCCATGAGGTAAAGGTCCCCTGGTTCTTGCATTGCCTTTTGACGGGAAACTGTTGATGATTTTTCATTATGGGAAGATCTCCTAATTAAAAGATTTTAAGATCCATAGCTAGCATCTTTGAGCATTGTTCTTTCTTACCTGTAAAGGCCCCCCAAACCCATGAGAAATATAATTTCAGTGCAATGGATACCGCATGCATTAATTAAAGATATCACTTTCGTATGATATATTGAGTCAATAAAAAATTGACATATTTGTATTATTTTTTTAACATCTTAGCATGAGTTGTTTGAAAATCTTTTAACATGACATGAAAGAAATCTCTGGTGTAACATAGGTTATATATGTGTTTAAATAAGAGATATTGATTAAGGTATTTATTAAAAAATATTAAGGTATTATTTTTTTTTATTGAGTTTTTTGTTTTACGGTTTGAATTATATTAGATTTTAAATTAGATGGGAAGATAGCTCTTAATATCAAAAGATCCAACTTTATTAAGTAATAAGTATTATATAATTTAATGTAATCTCAATTGTGCAACACTTTTATCTTTTTATATTAAATATACCTCATATATAATACATCTAGGGTATTTTACCCATTATGCTAAGACCATTTTCCTAGACCTATGTCAACTAAAAAATATAAGTAAAGGGTGTATTTATTAATTAAGCTTAATTTAAAACCATCCAGCTTTCTAGTTCATGCGCCTATACATAACCTCTTAAGTGGGTAGAATTATGTTTGCTAAACAAGCTCCACACAAGATGGTATATATTGACATCATAATGTATTGCTTTCGTTATTTAGTGTGCCTTTTTCTTTGGAGAACAAGTTACATTACATGGCCAAATCCATGAAGCCATGTACTCCGACATCTTCAATATTCTCTTTTAGTGGCCTACGTGTACACGGCTTCCACACCGTTTATCTAAAATTTTCTTTGCGAAGGAATCAATCCATGCTCATGCTCCCTTCATCCATATTTAAATTCCTTATTTTACTTTAAGTATAAAGCATAGATTCTAGACAATTCTTCCACGTACATTAATTCAATTAGTTGTTCATTTTTATAAATAAAATAATCTCATAGGTACAATATATACTCTTTAAAAATTAAAAATTTTGAATATGATTCATGATAGATAAGGCGATAATAAATGTGTCAATAACCTAAATAATTCAGTGACTATCTCTTTCCGTTAGAAGTAAGAAGTTCTGATTTCGAATCTTATAACATATTTGAGTAGGGTAAGGTAAGGGATGAGAAATAATTGCTTCTTATTGTGCAACAAAAAAAAACGAAATAAAAAAAAAAAGACAACAATAAATTTAAAATTACATGATATATTCTGAATGAAACATTAATTTAGTAATTAAAAATATTATAAGACCCCCAAAGTTTTAAGATTTCTCCTTCTCAACTCAAACATTTAAAAACAAAAACAAAAAACGCATCGGGCATGGAATTTTTCATGGGCCAAACTGAAACATGAGCTCGGTCTCAGATGTAGAGAATGAATGTTGGGCCTCAATTGAAAATGTATGGACGGCAAGTTTCAAGGGCCGAACTCAAGTATCATGCTACACCCATTAAGGATCCACTTGTAGGACTGGTCCACAAGTAATGCTCTTATTGGACAGTCCAAGCTGCCTTACTGTTATTATTATTATTTTTTTTTTAACCTCCATAAAATAATGTGCCTCATGTATATTTTTCTTAACTTTTTATTTTGTTTATCGTCGTCACTTCCCTGTGTATCTATTTAGTTTCGAATGCTGAAAGTAAATATAAAAAACAAGTGTCTAGAACCTCAGGTTGTCAGGTGGCTTAGTTCGGCCCATACCAGAATCAGCTTAAGACCGCATATATAATCTAAGATGGAATAAGATTTTCAATTTTGATGATATTAATATTATGGCTTTGTTTTCAGTATAAATAATTAATTCCTTTCTCCTCTCCATATAGTTTTCTTGTAGATGATTACTGATATTTGTGCGAATATAAACTGTCTTCTATCAGGGAGAAAGGAATTATTGTGCTGATATTAGAACATGTACCATGGAGTTTTCTCTTCGTTGTTATTTTTAAAAATAAAAATAGAGACAAAATTTTAAATTATTAGAGAATCTTTAAATTTTTATTTTTTTATTATCTATTACTTTTTAAAAAGAATTTTTTGTTTTACGATCTAAATTATAATGGATTGTAAAATAGAGATTATTAAATAAATTTTTTTTAATATTAAGATATTTATCTTCATCTAATAGTTATTATTGTGTAATTTGAAACAATTTGAATTATACAACACTTTTTCGTTTTAAAAATTAAAAGTAGGTGGCAGGTTGGGCAATTCTTAATTCAATGCTGTTTGATCAAATTATTTTTAAAAATATTTTTAATTAATTAAATAAATAATATTAATATGATTTTTAAAAAAGTTATTTTTAAACATATGCATTTAAAGAAAAAGTGTTTTATT